TTATTTATTTATTTAATTTACGTGGCTGTACGGATGCCACTTTTTAATATTGTTTCCAAGAAGTTGAAGCCCTCCGAATATGTTGTGCAGAAGGTTGAAGAGGGGAAAGCGATGCGCACGGTTCTTCCCTTTCTCTCAAGGAAGCTCGGCATCCCGTCAATGAAGAACTACTTGGCCTTTGCATGCGACGAAAAAAGAAAACCGGTGGCCAGGCTGGATATGGACATTCCACTGGAGGAACAAGGCGTGCTACCGTTGTCGTTTATCTACGTATCTCCGATGGACGCCACGCCAAAAGGACCGGATGGTGAGGAGCTTCCACTGGCGTTGGATCTAAAAACCAGTAGGCAAAAAAGCGAGGAGGAGGAGGGTATGCCACCACCACCTCCACCCCCAGAAGAAGAAGGAGATGCCTGCACCAAAAGGCGTGCTGAACACGAAGAGGAGGCGATGAGGCGTGCTGAGCAGGAAGAGGAGGCGAGGAGGCGTGCTGAACAGGAAGAAATGGCGAGGAGACGTGCTGAGCAGGAAGAGGAGGCGAGGAGACGTGCTGAGCAGGAAGAGGAGGCGAGGAGACGCGCTGAACAGGAAGAGGAGGCGAGGAGACGTGCTGAACAGGAAGAGGAGGCGAGGAGACGCGCTGAGCAGGAAGGGATGGCGAGGAGGCGTGCTGAGCAGGAAGAGGAGGCGAGGAGACGTGCTGAGCAGGAAGGGATGGCGAGGAGGCGTGCTGAGCAGGAAGAGGAGGCGAGGAGACGCGCTGAACAGGAAGAGGAGGCGAGGAGACGTGCTGAACAGGAAGAGGAGGCAAGGAGGCGCGCTGAACAGGAAGAGATGGCGAGGAGTCGTGCTGAACAGGAAGAGGTGGCAAGGAGGCCGCTTGTGTACGTTCCTAGCGGCGGCGCCGGGGAATCCTCGATGCGTTTGTTCAATAACGTGCTGGAAAATGGGGTCTGTCAGTTAGACAATACCCAGTCGGTGGGAATAGAGCACAGGGTACAACTGAATCTTGTTCCTGATGTTATTCGTGTCGCAGCAGAAGAAGAGCGAGTGCTTGATGTTGGATGCGACGTGCCAGAAGAAACGGCCCTCCAGCTCGCTGCCGTCGCGAATGACCGTCCAGTTCATCACGCCGTTATCTTGCGGCTTGCAAAGTTGGTGTTAATTAAGCGTCCGGGCAAACCACATATATTCTTGTGGTCGCATCTGCAAAGCAAACTGGGTGGCCATGAAGTGAATGCGCACATTCAAAAGAAGGAGGTTTGCCGTCGTACTCCTAGCACCACACTCACTTTTGCTCCTGTTGGTGATACCGCTGAGGAGCGTCTCGTGTCTGGGGCACCGGCGGGCCCTGCTCGAACGGCAATGCGCTACTGGGCGAAGCTTCTTATTGAGAGCAAGCCTGACAATCCGGAACTTTTTATGTGGTCTAAGCTCGAGGCAAGGATGGAGAGGGATTCACTTGGGATTCCGCAGTCCCGGACGTCAAACACGGCGTCAGCCAGGGACTCCACGAGGATTTCTTTGCTTCGTGGCATACCGCGCGGCACCCCGGCCTACACTGTTATGCGCAACCTCGTAGACCTCACCTTCGAGAAAAAACCAGATCAGCCTGAAATGTGGATGCTGTACCACTTTATCGCCCGCCACAAGTCTTCTGCAGCACCCTCAGGACGTTCGTCTGTGACTCCCGTTCGTTTCCTTGAGGAGGATCTCGGGGGAGACGGGAGCCGCACTCCGAGTAGCAAAGACGTGTTTTTCAGTGCGGATGCTTCCATGCCGCGCCCAGTGGCGATGCTGTCGGGTCAGTGGGCAGATCGCGCAGCCCCTTGGTCAACTCAAAAAAACAGCATGCGAGCACGGACCAGAGAAGTGTCGACACAAACTTTCCACGACTCTCAGGGGACCGCACTGGCAAACTCCACTCGAGTAGCAGTCGTACCGCGTGCAAGAATGGGATCACCCTTGCAAGCTACGAGTTTTCTCCGCAATCTTTCTCCACGGGAGCTGCTGCAGCCACCACCTTGCGACATGTCGTTTTTGCGCCGCCGCCGCTATGGCGCCATGGCTTCTGATCTGGAAGAGTACCCGGTGTCTCCTTTTTATCATGAGAAGTACAGTTTGCTCTCCGATCCATTGCAGCACGCTAGCGGTCCTTTACTTCGACGGGGTCGTTCGTCCCGCGGCTTTAGGCGCCCGTCTCAGGAGGGCGAAAGAAATCTTGTAGGATGTTGGGGGCATAGTGATGAGAGGTCTGACGGTAACAGAGCGGAGCAAAATGAGTTTACTTCGTTGCCGCCGTGCGAGAAATTTCTACTGCATTCACCAGTATCATTACGTCGTCTTTCCAGCAGCGAATCTCCAGAGTCGCAGTATGCGATGCGACGACGTGAAACAGACCGTGCAGAAATTCTTTATGAGTACAACTGGCTGCTACAGCGCGAGGCGTTACGGAAAGAGCAGCTGCGAAAAGAGCTCGAGCTTCTCCGATACGAAAGGGAGGTTCGTGAAAGAATGATGTGCCTTGGCCCCACCGCACAGATGGCATTGACAGCGGACTCCGTTGCACGCTCGCAATTGGAGGCGGAGGCGCGGCTTCAGGACCTCAATTGTCGGGGATCGCTGCAGTTTCCTTCTGAACCGGATGCCATCCGCAAAAAATTGAAGTTTCTGGACGTGGAGGGGGACCGCCTTCGTCAGTTGTCACTTGCAAGAAATCGTTTCACGGCACCCAGTGAGAGGGAACCCATCGGTGATGCAGCTCTTCGCGACACCTACGATAGTCCTGCTTTGCATCGCGCAAATGATCGCGTGGGTATTTCGCCGCACTTCAATCCCACTATTTAGAAAAAATCCAGGGACGGGGAGCTGATTTGAGGAACGCGCAAGGAGCAGAGAAACACATATGTATACATGCACAGACACACAGACGGAGTGGTGAGAGTCCTTTTTCCTTCACACCTTATTTCAATTACCTTCTTTTCCCTTTTTTATCTTATTTTAGTGAGCGTCTGTTTCTGGGTTTATGCATTGGTGTTTGACTTCCCCTTTTTTGTTTCATAGTGGCCTGTACTCGGCTCTCACTTCTGCACCTTTTTGGCTTATTTATGCGGCTGTGCAACCGTCCGAACTTTTTCCGTTTTTTTTTTTTTGCTCGCGGGGAATCCCCAAGGAAGGCGTGGGGCAAGGAAAAAAGGGGGGTAGAGAGGGATAACGAAAAACGAGGGGTGGAAGGGCGGGGGAAATTGTCACGTTTTCATTTTTTTTTTTTTTTTAATTTTTCTGACGGCGTTTTAATAATTATTTGTTTTCGCAGCTTTTTGTTATTTTTATTATTTATTTGTGCTGAAGAAGGCACCGTCAAGGTCTTTATTTCTGTTGGTTTGATGCATCATTGACCGTTCCCTGTCGTGGCAACACACGGGCACGAAACGATGAATGATTGGAGGAGCCTTGCCCTGCTCTTTACACCGACACGACATATATTTCTGTGCGTTTTCCTTCACTGGGCGTGTGTCTGTGTGTTTTTGTGTGTGGTCACTGGGGCCAACTTTGGAGATTTCTTCCGCACTTTTGTGGGCGCGGTGGTAGGAAGGGAGGGGCTGCCGCGGGGAGCGGAGGAGGCGGAAGAGAAATTCAGCGATAAACGCACAAGAGAAGGAGAAAAGCAAAAATAAAAAAACAAACAAACAAACAAAAAGAAAAAGGGAGAAAAACAATTTGTTAGTCAAGAGAGCTACAGGAGGGGACGTCACACATGAAGTTGTACTCCCTGTCGATTGTGAGGCCCTTCCCTGCGGGCGTGGAGAAGGAGCCTGTCATCTGCTCTCAGGCCATTGACGTCAGCTCGTTTGGGTTCTTTCAGCGCAACTCTGCCCGGGAGTTCATTGTGTTTCTCACCCGCACGGTGGCGAGGCGGGTGTCGAAGGGCTCCAAGACCCAAATTACTGAAAACGGCAACGTTGTCTTTGCACATGCAACGCTGGACGGAATTGTCGCCATCGCTATTAGTGACATCGAGTACAACTCCCGTGTCGCCTTCACGCTGCTCGGGGAACTCGCCCAGCAGTTTCAGACGACCTTCCACGGAAAATACGACATTGTCGATGGCAAAGACGACAACTTTCTGAACTGGCCGTACCTTGAGGAGATGCTGCTGAAGTACCAAAAGCCGGAGGAACAGGACAAAATCCTCAAGATCAAACGGGACATAGAGGACACCAAGGTGATTATGTACAACGCCATTGACCAAATTATTGAGCGCGGCCAGAAGATCGACGAGCTTGTCTCCAAGAGCGAGGATCTTGGGATGGCAAGCAAGACATTCTACAAACAGGCAAGGAAGACAAATTCGGGGTGCTGTACATTCATGTGAGATGATACTCTACTGCTCATTGGGGTCGTGTGCGCTGGTGGTGGTAACTTTTTGAGTCTCACACTGCCTGGGAAATTTTATGATGTCAAACTTCCTTCTTTTCTGCACAGATGTGAGGAAAACAGCAGCGAGAGTGTTAAGAAGGAACAGTAGGAAAAATTGGTCGTTCCTTCTCAAAAAAGGGAAGAAAAAGAGGAAGGGAAAAACTGTAAACTGGGAAGAAAGTGGAGGAAAAAAAAAGGGGATGACAAAAATATGGATGCGTCGATATGTGCGAGTAACTGACATGTGCCGTCTACGGCCGTGTTCTTTCCAGTGCAAATTTCACTTTTAAGCTTACAGGGGAGGGGCGCTTTTTTTTTCGATTTTTTTTTTTTTTTGTGTGTGTCTTCTTTAGTTTTAGTGCGTTCCTTTTTTTTTTTTTTCTGAGTGTGTGTTTGTGCTCTGTTTCTGGAAGATACGCTGCTGCTTCTTTGACCGATGCTAAGAAGGCTGAACACTTCGGAGGCATGCAGTCCTTGCCAACTTTAGATACGGTGCCTCTTTCTTTTTCACCACTTTTTCTTTCTGCATTTTCCTTGCCCCTTTGCCGTGGTCGTTCCTTTCTGGCCGAAAAGGGCTGCTCATGGTGAAGGGCAGTGGGGCGCACTCAAGAAGAAGGCGCACCGCTCTTTTGCTGACGGCTGCTCCTGCTGCTGCGGTGACAGTTCTTCTTTTCGTGTCGTGGAGGAATGTGGAGGAGGCAGGGGACGAGGCGAGATCAACGGTCCGCCCTTCGCCGTTTCTGATCGCTGCGTCTCAGGCACGTGGTACCACACCCACACTCTATCAGTCTCTGCAGCCGGAGGAAATTGGAGGTATTCTACCGGGAAACATAACAGCCTTCATGTCTCCGAGAGGACCACACAGGGGAAAGGAGGTGCCACACTTTGACTACGGCGATGGGCCCAGGCGCTACTGTAATCCATACCATCCCATGCGTCGTACCTTGCGTCCCTGCCATGGTCTTCTCTACACGAAAGGCAACTGGCTGTACAACAGCAGTCTTTGGCCCCGATACGCTTCTCGTGGAAAGGTGTTGGGATGTTGTGAGCGGGTTTTCTGAAAGGAGTCTAAGGCCAATCGGATTCGTAAAGAGACGCAATACGAATGGGTGCCCGACGAATGTGAGTTGATTCCATGGGACGAGGAACTCTTCTGTCGCTCTCTTCGTGTTCGTAGCATCATGATGGTTGGTGACAGCCTCACGGATCACTGGCACGCCTCCCTTTATTACCTTCTCGGTGGTGTGAGTGATATCTACGAGCGAGAAGGCACCTCACACTTCCTCAATCGGTGCAGGGGACATAACATCTGCCAGAAGTATTACCCAGACCGTGTAAAGGATCCCGTCAAGATCTTTTTTCTCACCAATTAATTTCTTGAAACGGGTTATCACATCCATCGGAATTTTTTGAGGTGGAAGGACATTCATCGCTACCCCATTCTCATCCCAAACTCCGGAGCTTGGATGGTGCAGCCGTCGAACGAGCGCTGGAAGGTTTCAGATGAACAGTATTACCGTTTGATGCGAAGGGCCGCCAGCGTTGTTCGGCGCATTTATAAAGGCGCTGTTATTTGGCGGGCAACCTTTCGTGGGCATCCTTTTTATTGGCGTTATTCCGAGCCACTGAAGACATTGTTATCATTGGATGAATACAAGGCAGAAAAATACGAAAGGTATCGCTGGTTTGCTATTCCCGACAGGAACGCATACACGAAGGCTCTCTGGGAAGACATGGGGGCACATATTTTGGACGTGGCCCCCATGACAGACCTCATGCCACTAGGGCACATGGGGAAGTACCACCCAAAGGATGAGGTGATGAACGCAACAGACTGCCTGCATTACTGCTCTCCCGGGGCAACTTACGATCAATGGAGCATTTTACTAATGAACCTCCTTACAGGAAACATTGTAGTTTAATCACTGGATATGTTTTGGTTGCTGCGGTTTTTTTTTTTTTTTTTCTGTGGCGTCTGTGTGCGATCTTTTGTCAGTATCGCCGCTTTCTGATGTTTCTGACCAGAAGAGAGTTTTGCATCTGTTTTTTTTTTTTTTCGCATTGTTTGTATGTGTGTAATGTCTCGAGTGTGTGACAAGTATCGAAGTATTGAGGCCTTTTTGTGGCAATATCGGTTTTATCTCAATTACGCATTATTTTTGTTACCATTTTTAAGGAGGCCATTACCTCCTTTTTGCTCTTGCGTTTTTTTATTTATGTATTTATGCATGCCTGCGTGCGGCTTTATGAACTTCCTTTTTTTATTGCCCCTTCTCATATTCTTATGGGGAACTGGCGTGGTTTTGTTGGCATTATCTCGACACCTTCAATCCGGCTGGGCTTGTTCCATTGGCGGCAAAATTAACGGGAGGAATAGAAGAGGAGAAGCGGATATTGTGAAGTCCACATCAAAACGACAAGTCCGTGCATCTTTCGGGGCAGCAAGCGCAGCAGCCAGAAGACCGTGGATGCAATGTCGACAAACATATCTCCAAATATAAAAAAAGGTGGCGTTACCGCCGCAGACCTCATGCAGCTGCAGGGGGCCGCCCTTCGTCTTCGCTCTCAGTGCACCCAGAGGGAGGCGGACAACCGAAGGCTAACGCAAAAGCTGCGCGAGTATGAAGAGCAGCTGTTTTTTCTGCGTGCAAATGAGCTTATTCTTCGAAAACAGGTTTCAGTGTGGTCCAGCTATCACCGTCTTTTTGCGCAGCCACTCTATGAGGCGCGTCTTGCGGTGGAGAGGTACAAGCACGAGGCCCATCAGTCCTTGGTCCACGAGATGCAGGTTGATCGGCAGCGAAGGAGCTCGCTTGCCAACGCAGCGAATGAAAAGAGGGAGCGGGAGAGGGCCGGCCTACAGGCGCGTCTGCGGCAGCTCCAGGAGCTGCAAGATGAAAAGCGAAAGAAGAATGAAGAGCTGGAACTTCGACTGAGGCGTGCCTCCGAAGAGTCTCTGCGGGCCCAAAAGCAGGCGTCAAAACTGAAGGATGAGTTGGCGTATTGCATGGATCGACTGGAGGAGAGCGAAAGAGAACGCGAACGCGTCAAACGGCATCTTTCTGAGCACGAGGCGGCTCTACTAAAGGCACGACATAATGTGGCTGGCATGGGACACTTTGAGGAGGAGATCCGCTCGAGGGATACCGTCATTGCGCAACTTCAGCGAACAGTGCGGGAGTTGAACACAATCATGGCACAGCAATCGGCATCGCGGTTAGAAGAAGCAAATGGCGAAAATACCCCGCCGCAACACGAGGCAGAGGAAAAGAAGTTGGCCGCCAGTCCACAGAGATTACTGAACGACTCGTGTGATTCTGAATGGGTGCTAAAGCAGAGCATTGGGTGGTTTCGCAGTAAAATGGAGCGTGAGATGAAACCTTCTACTCCCCGCCGTCAAATGTTTGAGCCCTGCAGTTCTTCCGCCCACCCTGCACCATCGTTGTCGTCTTTCTCATGGATGGAGGGGCGGTGCGATAGCGGAGATGTTGATCTGCAGGAGTTTCTATCGCGGGAGTTACAGGCTCCTTTGCTGTAACGTCTTTTTTTTTTTTTTTCCTTTGAGAAGTGCCTTTTTTTTTTTTTTTTTACACCACGCATTTGGATTTGTTCACATCCTTTTGGCTGCTGGCCAGTGACACGGCATTGTGCAGAGAACTCACTTTTCATGCTTCTCTTTTTTACTTCTTTCTTTCTGCTTCTTTGTGCAATTTTATTTTGGAACATTAAGCGGTCCATTGAGATTAGGGCTTCTCAATTAGCGTTTTTGAAGTGTGTGTGCAGTGAGAGCAAATTCTGCTTGCTGACACAGCAGGATACCGCGGCTCTCAGGAATGCCAAACCCCCTAGTTTCTGATAGTTCAAATACTTCTCCTTACTCCGTCGATATGGACGTAAATGCCATGAGGTCACCGTCTTATAACCCCCTGAAAACCCTGATAGAGCAGACCATACTTTCGTTTGGCTACACGTCTCTAAAAGAACTTGCCGAAATTCCAATACAGGACAAAATGTCAAAATCCCCATCATTGGGGGGGAATTCGAGGAGTGGGGCATGTTGTCAAAAGTGCAAAATATACGAAAGACTTCTTAAAAAACTAGCTACTCTGCTTCTTGTGGAACTGGATGAAGACGGGGGAACATCAACGAATGGTGCGTGGCCAGGTCTTCTGTCGCTTGAGAAGCCGCAAGGCATGGGCATTTCGGAACTGATGGCCGGCAATCAATCCATCTCGGGTAGTCGAGACAGTGGAGTGAGTCCCAACCGTGACGGCGCCACAGTTCCCATGTTGTCTTTGTTAACAAGTCCGTTTGATTCCTTTTCCAGTGTCACATTGATGTCGACTACGCCCTTGACGGCTCCATCCTACAGTGCTCGTGGGAGCGTGGGCAATTGGCTGAAAGGATTTGTGGCCTTTGCGGCGCCAGGAAAAAAAAGCGAAAGTAATTCCTTTTCCGACGGAGACGATTATACGAGGACCTCCAACAGTCTCACCCCCGCCATGCTAGTATCAAATAGAGACACAGCGAAAGCGGATTTAATGCAACGCGGCAAAAATGTCAAATTGGCACGACAGGCCGCCGTACATGTTGCACATGGGACATCCTATTCCATTGCCAGAGCCCGAGGTTGGGATGCAAATCCGCGCGTTAAGGAGACTTCGAGGACGATAATAGCTCGCAAGAACCAAAAGAAGATGATAAACGAATATGTTTTGCTGAGGAAAATTGGCCAGGGTTCGACGGGTTATGTCGTTTTGGTTCAGGAATGCGAGTCAAAGGAACTATTCGCGATGAAAATTGTGCGGCTGGGAAACAAAATTGACTGGCGGCGCGTGAATGCCATTCGTTCTGAGATTACAGTACTGAAGGCGGTGGCCCACCCCAATCTTGTTCGGCTCCACGAAGTCATTGGTGACAAGAGTCACAACACGATTTTTTTGATACTGCAGTATATTTCGGGTGGTAGCATCGCTAAAACCTTGTCTTCGGTCACAATTATGACCATTCCAGAGGCAAAACTACGTTGCTACACGGTGCAGATTCTTTCAGCTTTAAGTCACTTGCATTCCAACGGAATATCCCACCGGGACATCAAACCAGAAAATATTTTGATCGATAAGGAAGAAAGAATATATCTTGCTGACTTTGGTGTGAGTGCTATAAGCACTGCTAATGGTGTTCACGGCATGGAGGGAACACCAGCGTTCATGGCTCCTGAGGTGTTTACAGGTAATTTTGAATTAATCGGAGAACTTATAGATGTATGGGCACTCGGTGTCACACTGTACCAGCTTATGTATGGCTTTCTGCCATTTCAGGCGCTCACGTACTTTGAGATGGTACGCAGAATAGTTAATGATCCGGTTACTTTTCCTGACAAAGTGCAAGAAGATGAGTCGGAGGGAGCTGATTTTGGTGATTTTTCATACTTGGATGAGATAGAGGGTTTCATGAACACCGATACATATTTAGGCTTTCATTATGATGGTGAGGATGATGAGGATGAGCCGGAGAAAGAAACATACCATAATGACCGTGACGAGGTGACTCCATCTGCTGTTCATTCCTCACCAGAATTCAAGGAGTTGATTCAGGGCGTCCTTTGCAAGGATCCCCACTCCCGCTGGAATCTGCGACGCATTTGGGAATCCGCGTGGCTTCGGGACGCACTCGAGAGCGGCAGGCGAATTACGATGACAGGCGCCCCCACACCCAGCTATGGTGAAGTTTGCATCCCCAGAGCCCTGTCACCATCTGCAATGACGCGGCCGGCGGTAGAAAATAACTCAACAAATGCGTCAATAACCAAACTTAATCCGAATGTTGCCGTAAAATTTTATGCTATTTCGAATCAAACACACCACTCCCCCACCAATAAAATTAACAAGAAAATTAACACGGAAAATACCCCCATCAACAAAACTCCCACCCCCATTCTTAACAACAAAAGCAAAGTCTGCGTTAATATTGACACTGAAAAGGAATCAGTTTCTGGCCGCCACTTGAAAGCCGATGAGGAATGTGCACATCCTCGGGCGAGCTTGTGGAAAAGGATTCTTTCGGGCACATGGCGTAGAAAGAAGAAAGTTTTGCCAGAAGGGCAGTCATGATAGTAAAAAGAAGGGGATTCTTTATTGTTTGCAGGTTTGGGACCTTAATTCCTTCCCCTATTTATTTATTTATGACATATATATATATATATATATCTATTTTAAATAATGATGGTAGTTTCCGCGGTGATTAATGCGAAAAATCATTGCAGTTTTGTTGTATATATATATATGCATAGGAGGGCCTTTGATGGGGGAGGGTTCACAGCGTATTCGGTCTGAGATCCATAGGTGCCTTTTTTTTTGTTGTTGTTTTTTTGACACCTATTGGTGTTTTTTATGTGCTTTCTGTTTTTTATTTATTTATTTATTTTATGTTTTATGTTTTATGTTTTATGTTTTATGTTTTATGTTTTATGTTTTATGTTTTTTACTTCTTGTGCACCTCTCCTTTTCTTTTATAACTGATTCTGGCCTGTGTTTGCTCATCTGTTGTCTCTCTTTTTGCGGACAGAATCGGTGTGTCTTGACGAAGCAGTGAAGCGGGTGGTAGGAATGAACGGAAACATGATCTCCCATCCCCTGGCAACGAGAGAACAAATGTTATTTGGTGGTGGTGGTGGGGGGGGGTAAAACCACGCCCTCGAGCTTTTTTCCTTTTTTGTTTTGTTTATAGGAGCTTGTGAAGAGAATGTTCAATGGGCAATCTGGCTATGCGATTTAATATATATATATATATATATTCTGATGAAGGAAACTCTGTAAGACCATTTTTCCCTACTTTATGATTCTTTTGGTTGACCAAGATTCAAGGAATCAGGGAAGCAATGGCGTCCAGACGATTTCTAATTATTTTTATTTTTATTTTTACAGCCAAAACTGATTCCTGCAAGCTCATATAAAGGAATGGCGTTGGTTCCTTTTACACGGCAACGGAATGGAGCCTTATCGGTAATTGCATGGCGGATCTGGTACGTCAGCAAGGCGATATACAGGTGCGACTCACCTACATGGATGAAAAGGGACAGTCGGAATCAATGGTGACTGTCAGTGCTACCATAAATGGCTTGCGATTGATTTCAGGAAACACTGCCAAGCACTGGGAGGATTCAACCCTTATGGGGCACATTGCGAATTGCCGGGCGCCTCAAAAACCAAATTTCGAGACTCAAGTGCTTTTGCCCATTGTGGGGGCGGACCGTGAGTTGGGGGCGCGGCAAGGGCTGACCATCGCGGAAGGGCGGAGATCAAAGCCGCAATACGCCGTTGCGGACGTGCAGAATCGATGCATTCAGCCCTACCCTCAGATGGTGAAGGCGCCTAACTACAGTTTGGCACGTGAATCCAACACTGCGGTGTTTGGCGGCCCGCCCGCGGAAGGCAGGGGTGCCGTGCCGACGAGAGGCGCCCACATGTCGGGGAGGGCCGCAAGACGGACCCCCCACCTACGCATGCCCGCGGATGGCGGAAACACACGGCCATATCAGCTGCATGGTTTGATGGCCGGGGGCCTGTCGGTATCCACGGCCCAGCCCAATCTCACGGGAGGCAGAAGACAGGTCAACAACCGAAGGCCTCGGGGCTGTCCGGGGAGAACACATCTCCCTCGCTCGATGCCCTTGCCTTCCCGCACCTCCCGCTTGGAAGATGGCCCCGGTTCATAAGAAGAGGAACGGCGTTTCTTTGCATTCGACGTCGCTGCTCTGGCCCGCGTGTGTGGAATGAGGGCGTCATCGGATCCTTCGCCGCCCTCCGGAGCGCATGCGCTTATTGTTGGCGCCAGGTGGACGCCCAGGTACGAATTGCCTCTGACGGCTTGGTTTTGTGGACGCGCGCGCTGGGGATGGATCGGGATCCCACCGGTGGTTTCATTGCTATTGGCGGGGCACTAATGCAGGACTTCCGGTTGCAGATCATGATGGCTACTGAGCCCAGCGTCCTGCTCTCCGCACTGCGCGTCTGCCCTCGGACGCAAAAACAACGATTGTCGCAATGTCAGCTGTGTCGCATTTATGGGCACGACGTGTCTGCATGCAAACTCCGAGGCGCGGCCGGTCGTCAAGAAACGGCGAAGGCGGACGACGGCGGCCGCACCCATTCCGCCATCCCCCGCCAAGGCTCGCAGGCGTCGCACCGCACCGCCGATGCCCCATCCGATCCCTCAGATTGCCCGACGCAATCGTCGAGAAGGGCAATGGAGCTTATCCGCCAACGGCGCTTGACTGTGGCACGACGAAGCACCGATGTCCCCGCCTTGGGCCAGCCATATGAGGAGAGCGAACGAGGTCGCTCGAGGGATGTGGGCGACGTCAAAGTGGGAGCAGAGAATGACCCTAGCGGAGCAATTCGCAACCTTTTGCTGCACGCACGAACAGCCGATGAACGAGGAGAGCTGCGCGAACTTTTTGATGGCAATCGAAGTGGCGCCATCGACCCGACTGCAGCACACCAGGATGCTGCGGTCCATGTCGGAAATGGATCGAACCCCGCTGGACATGATGATTCTGGGGTTACAAAAAATTGCGGCGCGATCGGAAACGAAGCAGACGCGCCCCTTAACAGAGGAAGAGATGAATCAAGTTATCCGCAGCCGGACCGATTGGAAGGAACGTGTTGTTTTTCGACTTGCGTGGATAACGGCGAGTCGTTGTTCCGAGGTTGCGTCCTTGACAGCCAAAAAATTTTATAATGGAGTCGGACAGGACCATAATTTTGGATTTGTCCGTGGCGCCGAGGACAGCGAGGGCGGATCCCCACTGCGCCTCGCGGTTCGTGAGGATACGAGGGCAGGACGCCTTTGACTCTATAAAGCTCTGTATGACACTTTGAAACAACGAAAGGCTCACGAATATTACTAATGCCAAAGTCGAACGAGCTTTGGCTCATTGGAATGCCACGGCGCATTCCATAAAACAGGGTGTGTTGAGGCACGCGGCTCCAATCGTGGAGACGCACAATTTGAACCCACACGTGATCTCGCAGTTGGCGGACACGTCAATCCGTTCGATCTTCCCCAGAACACAGTTCGATATTTGGGGAACTACACCACAATGCTGACCCAGGTGTCGCCGCTGGTCGCATTGATGTGAAGGGAGAAACTGCGGAAGGACAGGAACCCTGGCTGAGAGCAGAGGAGCGTTTTTTCCATGATTTTAATCATCATGCTGCTACAATAACGAGAAGCGCGAAAAGGACGCGTCTGACCACTCCACAAGATGAACACGCCATCCCGTTACGGCAATTCAACGTGCCTGTATTGAATCCAGAGTGGATCATGAGTCGGTTGAACCCGGCTACCTTGGAGAGACTCATGCAATTTTGGGGACTCGTCGGGCGGTCCCCTTTCCCTCCGTCTTCCTCCGGTAAAGCGCGCGAAGGCTCACGGAGGATTCCAACCGCTGACGCGCGATTAATGAAGGAAGCGGGAATTATCAAGGACGCTTCGTCCACAATAAGCGGCGGATGGATAATACCTTTTTCGGTTGTGGAGGAGAAACCCACCGGTTTACGACGACGATGGATCGCGTGGCCACGCGACAAGAACAGAGACGACCCTTATGAGGCCAATGTCCTCTTTTACACATTTCCCATTATTTGCCACCTGTGATGGCTGAGGCCGCTTCCTGCCTGGACTTAAAGGCATCCTTTTTTCAAGCCCCTTACCGCGGGAGACTCGGCATCTCTTTCGATGCCGCGTGGAGGACGGCACGCTGGTGGAGCCGACACGGCTCCCAATGGGATACAAGGCCAGCCCAGAAATTCTCCAGATTATTATTGCTTCGGCAATTGCGGGGGTGACGACGGTGGTTCACCCCCTCTGGGCTACACCTCCATTGGTGCGTGTCGACGTTTGGATCGATAATATACGCATGACAGTGTCTAAAAGCGATCTGACATTGTGGGAGGCCCAAGTACTTCGTAATGCGGACAGTTGTCACGCATCCATGGGGGAGGAACGCGAATCGGGCGCTGCGCAGTACACCTTCCTGGGGGTGCGGTTTGATCACTCACTCACCAGACGGTATCTCTGAGTGAGAAGTTTCTCCGGTCTGTACGCGCCATGCCGGCGCTCAATTCTTTAACCATTGCAGAAATGGAGGTTACTGCGTCACGCTTTTTATATTTGGCGGCCATTTTGGGCATGCGTTTATATGACCACGACTTTTTCAGCAGTGCAGTGCGACGACAATTATCCGCACTTAACCGGGGGATTGTGCAGAAGACATACCCGGCGAACCTTCCGCCGGCAGCGGTTGGTTTGGGCGAGGGATTACGACAAATGATCGAGAATAATCGTAAGCGGAGCATCAAGCCCACGGAAAAGGCATCGGCCGCCATCATCAGGGATGCGTTGCTCCATGGATGGGGAGCCGTTTTTATTCCAGACTCCGGCGACGTTAAAATTGCCTGAGGGAAATGGGAGAAGAAGCCTTTTCTTATCATGCAGGCCGAGGCTCGTGCGGTACGCTTGGCCTTATCGCTCTTTTCCGCCATCTTGCCATCCACCACTGACATTTGGGTGGACAATACTTCGCTGCAAGGAGCGGCGAATAAAGGCAGCTCAAAATCACACGCCATGGCGTGGGAGCTGTGACGGATACATGGGTTTTTGGACTCTCGCGGAATACAGGCATTCTCTGCCTACGTGCGGTCTGCAGAAAACCGCGCAGACGGCATATCACGCGGTCGTGTGTTTGCGCCTCAGAGAATTGGCGAAGGGGTGGAACTTGCGAAGGGCAGCGGCGGTGTCTTGTGGCTGGAGGACCGCAAAGTCTGCCACTTCGCAAGTAATAATATTCTGAGGACAAAATACCATGCGAATGGTCAATAGAATACATATATATATATATATTGAATGAAAAGAAAACATGGAGGCAATGAACTAACTCTGCGAAAAGCCTTTCTTCTTCTACCTTGTTTGGTTTCTTTAGGTTATTTCAGGATCCGGCCAGCGGCGCAGAAGATTATTTGCTTTGTTTTACTACGTTTCTTTTTTTCTTTGTTGTTTTTTCTTGACGGCTGCGTTTGTTCAGAGTGAATTTAACCAGAAGGAATTAAAAAGCAAAAATGAGGAGTTGTACCGCCATGCGTTTCGGTTACAAGAGTGAATTAGGTGCCATATGCACCGCATTTGCTGCAGCTGTGGGCTTTTTTGCGTTGCCACGTTCCTTTCTTATAGTGGCGGTACCAGCGTGGCTGGTTGTGCAGCGGCTCGTGGCTCGCGGTTCACGAAATGGCGCGCGGCCGCCGCACGAAGGGGCAACCTACAATGGTGGCAAGGAAGGGAAGAAGGACTTGTCGCCGAGGGAGTGCCAACTCGCATTTGTCATTTCCCGCAATATGAATGAAGAGGAGAGGCCAGTGGCAATAGTCACGGGGACGAACAGCGGCATTGGGTATTACACGGCCGTGGGGCTTGCGGTGGAGGGGTACCGTGTGGTGTGCACCTGCCGGAACCCGGCCCTCAGCGAGTCGACGGCGGCAAAGATTCGGAGGGAGGCGGAGGATCATCGACGAGGCCGCAATGGGGATTCAATGTACATGGAGGTACCGGAAACGGTCCTCGTGGACGGTCGGTTTTTTCTTGAATGCGATGACTTCGCCAGCGTGCGGCGTTTCGTGGATCAGTTCCAGGCAACATACAAGCGTCTTGATGTCCTTGTGAACAATGCCGGCATGATGCGAAAACGACTGGAATTTAGTCGACATAACCCGCAACTGGAGCTTCACACTGCGGTAAACTTTCTTGGCCCGCTTATGTTGACAGAACTCCTTGTGCCTCTTCTTCGACGGAGTCAAGGACGTGTGGTGTATGTTTCGTCTGCGGCACACCGTTTCCCGCAGATGGTGCTGGAAACAGGCTTGTGGAAGACGCCGTCGAAAGCGGGCCTTAATGGACGTCTGCTGGATGCCGTTGAACAAATCAATCAGGGCGAATTGGGTTCAACGGGTCCGCTAAAGCGGAATACATTGGGTTGTGCTTTTGTTCGCTATGGAACAAGTAAATTGCTTAATATTTACCACGCTCACCACATTGCGCGACATCACAAGATTCCTGCGTGTTCTCTTCACCCCGGCTGTGTCGGGACAAACTTCTCGAGGGATCTTATGACCAGGGAGTGGATCCAACGCATCTACCAGTATGCCTCTCTCCTCTTTCTAAAGTCGTGGGAGGAGGGGGCGCAAACGACTTTGCACTGTGCGATGTGTGATGTCGAGGAATTAAGGCTTGTTGAGCCGCTGAAAAGAACAAACCGAACTGAACCTGTTAGTCCCTACTTTGTGGAGTGCGGCAACCAGACCATTGAGTCGCTGCTGCCTTACGGCTGGGATGTGGAGGAGGCAGATCGCATTGTAGAGTGGGGCAAAAAACTGGTTGGGCTGGCGCCGAAATAGAGTTAAAAAAAAAAAAAAAAAAGAGAATTTTTATAACGGGAGCGGAGAAAAGCTTCACCGCCCTTGTCGTTACTTCTGTGTATGCGTGCATATTGTTTATCCCACACTGTTGTAGGAGCTTGTGAAGAGAATGATCGCGGGAGAGCTGGCTAACTCAATTACTGTATACATCCTGATAGAACGAATATACACTTCTTTACGACACTTTTCCTACCGTATGAATCTTTTTGGGAAGAACACGACTTTAGTGGGGTATCAGGGAACCGATGGCGGCAAGATAATGTTTGTTTTTTATTTTTACCATCGCACCCACCCCCTTTTGATTCCCACCACGCGGCGGGGTCTTGTGGCTGGAGGACCCCAAATTCTGCCACTTCTTAAGTAATAATATTCCAAATCCTAACTGAGTACAAAAGGTCACGTGAGTGGACAACGGAATATAAATATTTTATCAGAAGAAAACATGAGGCAATTAACTGCCACTGCGTTACCCCCCTTTTGCCCTATCATGTTTGGTTTCTATAATTTCAGGATTCGGCCAGCGGCCCAGGTGAATATTTTTTGCGATTTGCCCTTTTTGGGCGGCGGATTGCAGCGGAATTGAATATATGCTTTACGTGTGGGGGTTCGGTTTTGAGAACTTTTTTTTTTGTTGTGACCGCTTCTTTTCCACTGGGGGCCATGAAAACCTTTGCTGAGCGATTTTCGTCGTCTTTTTTCCCTTCTTCTTATTGCCGGAAGAGAACCGGATTGGCGTGGGTGGAAGGCCGCAGCCGCTCTTTTTATTTTCAATTCCGCCCACTGAAATGAGCATTTCAGGGGCTGTCCGCGCCAACACCTGCGCCGCGTACCGTCGCCTTCTAAGCGCAGTGAAACAAGTGACGCGCGACTGTCCGCTGCACAGAGAGGATGGTCTCACAAGGTACGTGGCGTTTCGTTTCTTTGACGCAGCCGAGCAAAACCGCCGGCGTTATCTTAAACTCCGCGAGGGGGCTGCCGCACAAATAAACAAAGGGCGGCGGAAGAAATTGCGGGATATGGAGGTTCAATACGAGCGCTTTATTGCGAAGGAATTGCAGACGGTGCGTGAGGTGGCGGGACAAATCCTCCTTGCACCCGGCAATCGGGCTCTCACCTCCATGTTGCAGGTCCTCGCGGCGGGCGTTGGCAACTCACACTATCAACAGACGATAGAGAGGAATTATCTTCGCTACTGTCAGTTTGAAAGCAAAAAGGTGGAAAGGAATGAGGCGGAGGAAGAAGCTACGGCGGAGCGCCAAAACCGCATTATGCAGCATGCACTTATTCCCTACGGGGAGCGTCTTCTCTTCCTTCATCGTCTGGACGTTAAGAATGATACGGGTGATGTACAAGAACCCGGCAGTTTGACATCATGGCAGGTGACGGAGGCCATTGTTGGGACGCGCAGTGGTGTTTCGGCACACTACATGTCGCATGGAAGGGAAGATGTGGTTGTAGAGGTTGACGAGACGTACAATAAGCAAATTGTCTACGTGCGGTGTGAGACATACGATTGGAGTCGTGAGGTGGAGCGGGTAGAAATCATTGAGTCAGAAGAGGTGCGGGGCACCATCTTTCACGC